CATAGATAATAGTTTTAAGCTACGTCTCCCGAATAAACCATTTTAAAAGATTACTTAATAGGTACAATGAGCATGAAATAAGTATACAATGAAAAATAATAAAGCTTATAATATTTATATTTCACCAGTATTTTTTTTTAAATTTTTCTAACTGCATATCACATTTGAGGCAAGGGCCCAATCATTTTCATCAATTATAAAATGAAACTATTTACAAATCGCATATTGATTTCAAATATTTATCCATATTGCTTCATTAATGTATTTTTGTTACTGTCTGGAAACAATTTACGATAATCGTTGATCACAGATACTAGATACTGCACTTGATTAGCATCTTTCGTTAAAAGTTGATTAAATTCAGTCATTAACTTGACTCCTCTTTCAGCGACGTCATTGACGACTTTGAGATTTCTTACGACTTCCGAGGCACTAATATAATCTCTGTTTTTCTTCCACGTTGAAGGATGTTTTGCTATAAAACGTGTGTTGATTTTGAAGCGCTCAAAAAATGTATTAGAATCTTTGCAAATAAAATCGTAAATATTTGCATTTACCAAATCAGTCACATTTTGGTCATTCGTCAAGATACGTTTTTCATAAACGAAAGCGCTAAAGCTTGACTCCAGAGCATTGCACATCTTTGATTTGTCGCCATCTGAAATACTAGGATCAAAGAATGCCAATGCAGTCAACTCCGGGGTTAAGTACGATAGGTGGTTACTGAATTTTTTTATTGCGTTGACAGATACACTTTGGTCATACGTTTATATTCATTCAAACACTTTAAAAAGTTTAAATCTTGCATCGGCGCTTGAGCAGCAAATGGAGCAAGAAACCAAGCTTGTGTGTAAATCCTTGTTATAAAAATACACACATCTCGACATTTTTCCTCAACGTCCGGCCTATTTTGCAAAAATTGTTCTCGGAAAATAAACATTTTTAAACTGTAGATTGCTTTTGCCATCCACCTGGCATGGTGAATAGCTCCTCCTCTCATACATATGGTGTCTACAGATTAACCAAAGCAATTCTTTGTTCATTAACATTTCGAGTAATACACAATGTGTACAGATTAACCAAAGCAATTGTGTATTACTCGAAATGTTAATGAACAAAGAATTGCTTTGGTTAATCTGTAGACACCATATGTATGAGCTTGTTCTCAAATGTGTCTTTGAAACAAAATTTGGAAAGTCTACCGGTCCCGATGTATCACTATTTAAAGAATTTGCAAATTCTTGGAGTTCTATAGATAAAACAAAGTACAAGCCTGGAATCAGTAATAGTTTTGTGAATGAATGTCTTCAAGATGTAAGAGAACAGATATTAAGTTTTTGTTCTGAGAATTTAAACATTGACATATAGATGGCACCAGTGGGTTCAGTGGCTGATAATACATGATAATATATACTTTTGGAAATGAAAATTAACCGACTACGAGTTTTGCAAGGCAGTTAATAGTCTTTTTTTCTGCCTTTTTCAGCGTTTATCGGGAATTTTTGCTTATAGTATTTTTTTGTCGCTATATAGACAAAATCTAACGGTACCATTCGATTCAGAAGCTCAAAATACATAAGATAAGGTGGTTTTGATAATGAAAATCCGTGAATTAGACTGGTTTTTGGAAGGATAAACGATTTTACCTGTTTTTCCCATTTAAAATGCATGGGAAATTTCTTGTGCTTTGAAGAACCTGTTAACTCATTACGAAAAAATTCAAACCTGTTTGCGCAAGGTTTTTGGAACATATAGAAGTGATTTTCACCCGGGAATGAAGTCCCCAAAGAAAAAAAAAATTAACGTCCACCCTATTACGGCATGCAGTTATGGGATACTTCTTCAAATTCTAACATCGAAATATTAGAAAGTTTTTGAGTCGAAGGTTTTACGTGGTATAGTTGATGTCTCGTGATTTGTTACAAATGAAATAATTAGCAAGGATCTGCAATTCCCGACTGTTAAGAAAAAGTTGAAAGAAGTTGAAAAATAGAAAAAGAAAATGGAGGAGCAACTTAACCCTTTAATAAAAGATCTATTAAGTAGATCTACAACAACCACAAGACTCAAGAAACACCGAATTTTAATACAATAAAAATTTATATTATTCTATTTCTTTTACTCCAATAAAATATTAATTAAATAACGTTCGAATAACTTCTGGGCTAATTCAAACGCACGTGTATTTAATGCGATAAATGTAAAAAGATTTACTTATTGTTTAACTTTTAGACAGATTGTAAATTATTCTTGGAGTTAATAAAAAAAAATTCTCGAAGATCGCCGTAACGAAGGAACAGTGGTCTGGCGCCCATATAATAGTCGGGAAAACGAGTCACTCTAGGTATTATGGCGAAAGTATTTCGCGTGTGCGACTTAAACTCCCCGAAATTCCCCGCCACAACATTTTTGAAGAATTCGTGCAAGGAACATAAAAACATTACAGAAACTTTTCATTGAAATATTTCTGCACTGTTTCCTTTAAACTGTATAGTAATATTCCATGAAACTTTTTAAATATATCCCAAAGAAAAATTTCCGAAAAGTTTCACAAAAACTGTACGAAAACATTTCAAGAAACATTTCTGAAGGATTCGTGCAAGGGAAATAAAAACATTGCAGAAACCTTTCACTAAAATATTTCAGTAACCTTTCAAACCTTTCAGTGAAACTTTGCAGAAACATTGCAGCAAAGTCTTATGTTGTGCTTCATGGCAGCCTCGGTAGTTACTTACGAATTCGAATTTTCATTTATAACTGTAACACAGGTATACAAAATTTTGTATTACAAGCGAGCTATAGTATTCTCGAAGGATTTTGGTACGTTGAATCCAAATCTGGCCTCAGAATTGTTCCATCACGTCAGCTTTTTGAAATATCCCTATCTAAAAGTGCAGAAAACACTGTTTCTTGACATATTTTAGGTTATGTAGCATCATAAATAAATTTTTTCACAGAAAACTATTTAAAGCATCTCAAAGTACTAATCTCTTCCTTTCAAATGCCGTTGCGTTTGTCCAAATATTTTTTTTCTCTAAGATATCACATTTTGAAATATATATATTTATGAACTTATTTGTATACCTATGTAAATAATTATGGTTTCATATTAAGCAAATTAGCTGTTGCGTTTGTTTGTCCTCATACCCAAAAACCATTTGTTAATTCATTGCCTTTTGCATTAACCTTTAAATATTAGTTATAGTTTTCAGTAATACTTATTGAAATGTTGGTATTTGCCTTCTACATATAAACGGTTCTTAATTATAATAATTAAATTGATAAAATTCGTTTCATCGAAGTAAATTTCGTACTGATTTGAAGCCTTTAGTTGAAACGAATTGTATCTATATTTTTTTCAAATTTGATTATTAAAATCTTGTATTTACTTATTTTAAACTTTTATATTTTTTTTTAAATCACTCAAAATAGTTAACTTTAATTTCCCCAAATCAGGAGAAGTAGAATAATATTAACAAGTAATAAGGAAGTAAATGAAGGAATGTTTGCTTTCACGCTAATAAATATAACCTATATACAGGACCCAAACTTTCAACATAACATACGTAAATATGTTACAGCAGATTTCGAATATGATAAAAAATTAAAATTTTATTTATAAAATTTTTAAATCATTAACGTAACTATAATTTATTTATCGATAAATAATATCGTCATATATATCTAATTTTAAATAATAGAAAAATTTAATGCGTATTGAATATTTTAATTTTCAATTTTCCTAATGTAATGAATGTTTTGATCTATATTCGTATATTAAAATGAATGCCAGAAAAAACATTAAAAAGGGGTGCGCAAAAACTAAACATCACTAGTCTCTTAAGATAGAAGTTCTTTATTCAAGAATAACATTTTCTGTTCTAAGAAAAATCTTTTTATTTTATGGAAATGTTTTTTTTAATAATGTAGAAAATTAAAAAATTTGATGATGTAGTAATTTATTATACATAATCTTATTGAAGAGGATATTTCATTTTATCATAAAATAAGTAACACCTAATTTTATGTCATATATAAAACAGAAATGAGTGTATTATGAGAGAAAAAGATCCGTTTTTAAAAGGTAAAGAAATGTATTATGACTCACGTACGTACCCCACCAAAAACTTATGGAAAGGAAGGATACTACGGAATCTTCGAATCTAAGTATGTATATATATATAAGATTCACCGTTGCAAGGTTCAGACATACAAGCCGTTTTAGAGTGCGCAGAGAAAGTGTTTTACATAAACGAGAACGTCAGCTACTCCGCAAGAAACTACACTGTAAGCTTTTATTAAAAATCTGTTTATAAATTAGTATAATTTAAAAAATCGGTAAGTTTATTGATCATATTATTTATTTTTTTGAATAATTCATCAACAAAATCAACTACTTCATTTAATAATTCTTAATTAAAATGATATTTTCAATATAAAAAATAGAACTTTCTACCTAAAGAAATACATTACATACTATAAAGTATACATAATAAACTTTTCTTTCTAATATCCTGAGTTTGCAGATAATTATTCTATTAACAATCGATCATCATTATTTAAAAAAAATGACATTTTTTAATATTCAATGTCTATTTAAATAATTGATAACATATCTCGAAGTAACCCATTTGATAATCGGAAAAAATGAAAACTACGAAATTAAGATATTAATTTTCTTATTTGTTTAAACTATTTAGTCACTGTCATATTAAAATTCATTTGTTCAAGCTATTATGTGACTGGCACTAGCAACCAAATTTATCTATTAAGTGTACTTTGTTTATTTGGAATATTTATTACAGAAACTTATGGATAATAATATATGACTAAATATTTAATTGTGCGTCTATTTAATTTTATAATATTACTGCATATCTACATTATCGTAGTTACATAAAATTGTTTCAACTTGAAAAAATTGCAGTCTCCTCTGCGCGCATTCATGTAAATTCATACTGACGTACAGCAACATTTCGTAATATTATCATGTATAATTAGTTTTCCTAAAACTGTTTTATTCATCTGAAACTTAACTTGTAAATAAAAACAGTAAGTTAATGTTATTCTTTATCGTAAAGACGTAAATATCCGGTGGAAACCGAGTATACGATAAACTTTCTCCAAATTCCTTTCACTTTCTCGTGAACCTATGTATAGGTACTCATAAACTTTCTTTCGCATTTTAGGGTAATTTTATCTTACCAAAATTAATATTATGTAGTAATGAAACATACCTTTTAGAAAGTAGCAAATCAAAATTATTTTTACCAATATATACTACTTATAAGCAATTTTCAAGAATTAGTTTGATTAAGAAATAAACTCGTGAAATTTAGGAACGTTATTTATATCAAAGAAGAAATACACCATTGATCGATTTTTTCTATATTTTCATTTTTTATAAATAAATTTCTAGAAAAAATAAATCTAATATATTTTTAAACGGTTTGATACGATGTAAATATGCTTGTACCGAAATAGAAATACATACATTATGTTTTCTTGTGTAGTAAAAATCCTCATTCTCCATAGTTAATTATAAAGCAATACATAAAGTTTGACTGTTAATTTCGATTTCTTATAATACTTTATAATTATTTTATCATATTAAATTAATATTTAAAGCTATTACAATTACGACAATAAAGTCAAAAATTTCATATAACCGAATTCATTTCAAATCAGACAGACTGACGGCAACCTTGTCTCAAATTGAGCAGGAATGGTATTTGTTATTAAATATTATAAATAAGACAACTCGTATTTTTTTGTTTTTTAATTTCAATTAAATTGTACTTTTTAAGTATATTTGAAAGTGCATGTTGGAAATTTTATTTAATTGAAAGTTGGTTTTTAATTATTTTTTTATTTTGCTCTATATTTTTTATTTCTTGACCTTAGGAGATGTTTCATCACTTATTTTGTGGTATATGTAACACTCGTTTAAATTACATGAACAGAATTAAAAAATACTTACAAATCGCAAGAAAAATACATTAAAAAAAATTCAAAATTGATTTTCTTATAAAGGCCATATTTTTGTTTCAAATTTTATCATCTCGAAGTTTGCATTTTATTCGGAGAAAACACCTTTTTTCAATTTCTTGTCATTTTTTCAAATAAAAAGACATGCAGTTTACTTTTAATGAAAAACTAAATATTTTCTGTTATAGATGAATCAAATACATAGTTTATACTTATTACTTATATCATAAAATATGATTATTTAAAAAAATGTGAATACAAAATATTAAATTTTGAAAATTATTGTTTATTTTAATTAAAGTTGATCCTGTATTTTTTATATACAACAATATAGGAAATGTAAAGAAAAAAATTGATAATACAAAGTGTAAATATGTTACTTATAAACATTATATTATAATATATAAAAGATCAAAATATATACAAATCAAAATAATCCACTAACATTGATACCTTTAAGCCTATTGTATTATCTATTTCTGTCTTATGAATATCAGAAGCATCTGTATGAATTATAATATTTTGAAAATTTGAAAGATTTACAGGCAATCGGATTATAATGTTACTCTTATATTGCGATAGCAGCAAAATTCGCCATACTGGCTCCGCTGTTCCTACGTAACGTGTGTTTAAAAATGGTATTATTTCACTAAGTTTTTATAATCAAATTCTCATTATTAGAATTAGTTCTAATAATCGATGCTGCATTGTGTCCATTATACAAATATTTATGTAAATACTTGATAGATTTTATACTTAAACATATTTCAACATTTAAGTGGTAATTAAATATTAAAGATCATACTAGACCATAAGATACTACATATTTATTATATTATTCATCACGATCTTAAATAGTTTAACATATTAATATGGATCGGGGATTTCTGCATGTTTTGGTTATGGAATAGCTGAGGATCATTTCTAAAGTAATTTTTGAAGTAGAAACCGAATCTGGGTTAAGAATTTCTCCATCACGTTAGGTTTTAGTAACCTTAATGTGATTTTTTGCTTTTTTTGGACACCTATAATTTTGTGATTTTATAATTTTTCAAATCTGATTAAACCATCGAAAAAAGCCACTTTTTAAGTTTTTATTGTACTATATATATTTATGATTTGAATTTTTCTAACCAGAAATATCGTCGATTGAACAAGATAGGTGGCAGGTTGAAAATTTATCTTATTCTAGATTTGGGTTACAAGTAAGTTGTTCCTTCAGTGACCTGGTCATATATTTAAGATTGTAAACAGAGAGTGACGCAGAAAGAAATAAGTACTTGAAGTATAAAGGCACTGTAGGTTTTATTGAGAAGTTACAGAAATGTCCTTCGAGTATGCAGGCCAGTGTTCAAGTGATAAGAGAGACGGAGCTCTCTTACTAAGCGCGACAGAATCGATGCAGCGCATGCCCACACGTACACATACATATGTAGCTCGTAAGAAGCCACGATATTCCAAAAGTCGCTCCCTTCTTTTAAGCTTTTATTTTAAATTAGAAACTTTTAATCAGTAATGTATTAAACCTAAATTTAACATATTAACTTAACCATTTATATTAAAGCTAAGCACGTTTAAGAAATAAATATTTCGTTAAACATTCAGTCTTTCTAGGTAACGTCTAACATACATCAATAATCTAATTTACACAGCACATCTAGTTATATATATATAGTATGAATGGGTACGTGGTACGACTTAGAAAAGCCGTGAACAAAGTAGTGTCAGTGTTTCTGTCTGTCACATTGAATATTTTTCAATAAACTAAGCTTGTCAGGAAGGCATATCATTAGACAAAGCTTTGTCTCTAATAGTTTTGTCTAATGATATGCCTTCCTGACAAGCTTAGCTTATTGAAAAATATTCACGGCTTTTCCAAGCTATAGGATTTCTAAATAGGTTTATTACCATGCTGCTAGTAGATGTAGAAATAATTAAATCTCTAAAACTAGAGGCAGTGAATAGCTCTAATTGTAAGTGATCTAATTTTCTCGTGTATATAAGACCAATATCAGTTGTACCTCTAAGATAATGAAAAACGCGTTTTACATCAGTCCAGTCATCTAATGTAGGATTACTTTGTTTTCTCAAAAGTTGATTGATGGTAAACGCGATATCTGTTCTGATAGCGTTGGGCGTAGATACATAAAACTACTACCTCGCGATATGAGAACTCTAATTAGTTTTTGAGTGCTATGTAGATTTAGTTTTGGAGTTTACATTATTTGATATTAAATCTATCTAGCAATGTAATCTGATTGACTTAAAACTAATGCCTAAATTTTCTTTAGGTTCATCAAGATCTTTCATTTTGAAGACTCAACACAGGTGATTTCTAATTTCTTTAAGTTTTTAGGGATTATTTCCAGCTAATATATCGTTTACATACACAACTATTTCGTTTTTTCTATATGTGAATAAACAGCGCTCATTTATATCATTTTCTAAGCATAATTTTTCTAATTCTTCACTTGATCTCTCGTTCCATTTTTTAGGACTGATTTTCAGACTGTACAGGGATCTGTTTAATTTATAAACTTTTGTTTTTCGGCATTTTTCATCTAACAATTATAGCAAGTCGAGGCGGCGGTTAGCCTCGCATTGAGAGTAGAAACATTTTCAATGGCGTTAAATAATTTATTTGTTTAACCAACCGTTATTATTTTCTTCAGTTTTTGTCGTAAGCCCGCATAACTGAATGAATTATACTATAATTTTTTTTATAAACTACTTTAAAATACAACTAGAAATTTTTCAAACTCAAATGTCAAACACAAATCATTGTACAAAAGAAAATAATTTTACTTTAAAGCTTGTTTCAGGAGCTTAAATAACATATAATTTTAATGGAATAATTCTCCGAATTTTTACATTTATTAGAAAAATGTATCTAATTTTTCATATTTTCATAATGAAGATTTATTGAAATTAAACTAATAAATAAAATAATAAGAAAAATAAGAAATAAATTGTACAAATAATAAGAGTATCAATAAATAATGAGAAAATGATCTTATATATCATTTATTACGTAGCTTTAACTAATATGTACTATATATATGTACTTAGGTACGTAAATATTTATATATGTATCTGTAGTAAAATAAACATTATAAAATTAATTAATTAAAATAATAAATAATTGAGATCTCATTTTCTTCAATCTTTTATATATTTTTATACGTTGATTTACGAGTACTGTGGACAATACCAGATAAGATGATCATCGTTCTAATAACTGTGACCCTATTCGCAGGCTGGAGGATCAACTATGTTTTTTCTTGCTAAGGATGAGTCGGATTTGTAATGATGGTCTGCTCTGATAATTTATTTTCTTGAGAGATTTTTGTTTTTAAACTAATGATGCTTGGCGGGAATATGAAATTTTCGAAGTACTTTTAATCTTTAAACGTTCGAATGTTCAAATTCAACTTTGAAGTTTTATCATTGACAAATTTTTTCCAGATTTCCTTAAATTCTGAGTAAGGGATCGATATTTTTCCAATATTTTTTATACAAGATTTGTCCCAAAAGTATCGAGCCTACCTTTATATCTCCACATTGGTGTTATTCTTTATAATCCAGCGAGTGATATCCTTCAAAGTAGTTCCCATTTGATTGAATAACACGTTCCCAATGGTGTTTCCACTTTTGGAAGCAGTCCTCGAAGTCAGTTTTCGGGATTGCCTTTAGTGCATTCGTTTCAACCATCTCTTTGTCATCAAACCGGTATCCTTTAAACGGTATTTTTCATCTGGAAAAGAGCCAACAATTGTAGAGAGCTACGTCGGGGCTATATGGAGGCTGGCGGTATTGCACAATACCTGTGTTTCAATAAATACTGCAACACAAGGTTTGATACGTGCGCTGGGGCATTGTAATGAAGAAGCCAGTCACCGGTTACCCAAAGTTGCGGTCGTTTTCTCATGATTGTATCACACAATCTTTTTAAAACTCCAAAATAGTATATTTTGTTGATTGGATGGCCTCTAGGCGCTTATTCGTGGTACACAACGCTATTATAATGGAAAAAACAGACCAGAACAAGGTTCACTGGAAAAAAA